CAGGTGTTAAAATATACACACGCACTCACAGTCCTCTTGTGCTGCTGGACGCGTGAGGTAAGAAACGGCACCTGCCGAAGCAATCTTTTTTTCCCCTTAATTTTGGGGGTTCCTNCGGGGATTAGTCATTTCTATTCTCCGTCGTCTTTTCTTCTTTTCTCCTGCGGTCCGGGCGATGCCCACCGCCGCCACAGTGTGGGGCCGCGCCTCTGTTTTGTTATTTTTTTCCCCCCATTCTCCCACGCCGAAGGAAAAAGAGAGCAAACGCTGCTTGCCGCCGCTGTGCGCCTTGAAGGCTTTGCAGCTAACGCAACACACGCACACACACACACACGCACACACACGGCCTGCACGGAACCACCGCAAGGAGGAAAGAAGAGAGAGATTGACCCCACATGCCTCGGCATCTGTTTTCCGCTGCGGCGCTGCTGCTCCTTCTTTGCGTGCTGTTGATGTGCTGCGGCAACAGTGTCGCGTCTGCCAGTAACCAAGGGGATGCCGTTGATCCGTTTGCGGGGACGACGGAGATCCCTGGTGCTGCGTGGGAGGGCGTTGGGGTCGCTGCTCAATCGGTCACTTCCCTCCGCGTCCCCAGCCTTGTTGCGGTGGGGGACGATGTTTTTGCCGTTGCCGAGGCTCACTGCACGAAGCTAAACGGCGAGGCAGGCCCCTTTACTGGAATTGCGTCGAAGCACCTCAAGAAATCCGCGGAGGGTGCAATGGAGATCTCGGCGGCAGACACAAGTCTCCTTTACGCACAACTTGTGGAGGGAAGTGAGGCGGCTGAGAAGAAGGCAACGGAGATCATGCGGCCAACAACACTTGTGAGTGGCAGAGATGTCTACATGCTGCTGGGAAACTACAGCCGTGCACAGTCTGCAAGTCAAGTTTCCGGCAAAACTGGCTGGAATCTTTTGCTGGTGAAGGGAACTGTGACTGACGAGGATGAAACGAAGAAAATCGAATGGAGTAACCCCATGCGGTGCAGCCTGAATCCGTGGGAAGCCTTGCCTCCCTGACGCAGTTGGTCGGCGGCGGAGGCTCGGGTGTTGTGCTGAAGGACGGTACGCTTGTGTTCCCCATGCAGGGAATCAAAACTGATGGAAAGAGCGTCTTGCTCGCCTTGCGCTTCACGCCATCGAAGAAGAAGTGGGAGCTTTCATCCGGTACGACCGGTGAGGGCTGCAGAGACCCGTCCATCGTGGAGTGGGGGGCG